AAAATTTATGTCTTTGAATTTCTTCTTCAGGACACAGGTGATATTTTCTTCTCTGACAAATCATTGCAAATGCTTAAATAGGTTATAGTGTATTCCTAATCTTTCCTGTCTAGGTATAATTTACATTATGAAGGCACAATGCTTTAATGGAAAAAATACTGAGTAGCTCAAAATGAGAATTCCAGAATAGCAAAGCAGACATTTGGGGTCCACCAGCTTTTTAAGAAACTCTGAGGTTGCATAAGCACAGTTCTGGGATTCAAGCTCCAATATCAGATATTATCAGAATTGTAATAAATAAAGCACACTAGAAAAATGTGTTTACATTCTTTGCAATCTCTTCAGAAATTTCTTTTTTTCTTGGACAGTGTCTATAGAGTTGAAGTAAAGAAAAAATATTTGATAAATGCCCTCAGGCTTGAAATTCAGACTTGGGATTTAACAGATAAACCTTGTGTTTTATAATCTTTCAGCTACCAGAAGATAAAAACAGGTTTGCAATCTTTATCTCCACATTTGAAGTACAGATTTAGGAAGTCATTTCTGAAATATAGTTTAAACACATTTTGAGGCAATAAAAAGTAATTTTGTCCTGATTTTGTCCTGCATCTCTAAACAATTCTAAGTGTGCATCTCTACATTTTATTTTCCACTTTGATTATATGCAACAGCAGGGTTAATCGGGCACTTGCTTTTATAAAAATTTCTAATCTATAATTTCAAGAAAGTCTACCTTGGTAGAGGAGGGGAATGAGAAGGAGAAGGAAGGGGAGGAAGGTAACCAGCCCTCCAGAGGGGCTTATATACATCTCATTTTATTGTCAACAATAACCTAAAAAAACCATTGTCACCTCTACTTACCTGTGAAAAAAAAAGCGGGCTCAGACAGGTTGACTAACCTGTCAGAAGTTACATAGTTTCTAAGTGTCAGAGCCTAGATTTAAATTCAAGTTGGCCTGACTTTCTACTACATCTANCATTGTTTACTTGCTTTGCCTGCTGTAAAGAGATGCAATATCTGCATGTCTAGGTAGATGAGGTTGGATTCCAGCAGAGTGTAAAGCAATTTCTGTCATTTTAACACTCTTTATTCAACTCCCATTTCTCCCATTCCTTCTGGGCATCCTGGCTTCCAAGAGCACACAGACCACTGGCCAAACACACCTGCTTTGCTCCAGCAGAGGCCCTTATCATCATCCTCATTGTCATTGTCATCACCAGTGCCATCATATCATCAACATCATAATAGTCATTATCATTGTTATACCTATTGAGCACTTTCTGGATACCAGTCACTATTCTGAGGGTATATTTCCCATCTAATCCTCATTACAAACCTGTAAGAAAGGCCCTGATAATATCTATCTTCACTTTACAGGTAAAGAAACTAGGCAGAAAAAATAACTGCAAAATGTCATACAGCTGTCAAATGTAGCAGTTGGAGTTTTTTATAACCAGGTCCATCTGACTCCTAAGCCTCACCTCCATTGTATATGCTGTCAGTATTTCAGAAGTTTCAAGACTCTTGTATCTCTCTTAAAATTTATGTCTTTGAATTTCTTCTTCAGGACACAGGTGATATTTTCTTCTCTGACAAATTAATCATTGCAAACGCTTAAATAGGTTATAGTGTATTCCTAATCTTTCCTGTCTAGGTATAATTTACATTATGAAGGCACAATGCTTTAATGGAAAAAATACTGAGTAGCTCAAAATGAGAATTCCAGAATAGNGATCTTTTAATATCTAATAACTAAACCTCATTAAAATTAAGTCAAATGATACATTGAAACTGGTCATTCTTTCTTTTATAAATTCAGTAATACTATACAGAAGTTCAGAAATTTTGCTTCAGGAGATATCTTCAAATACAAGTCTTACCTTTTTTCACATGACTACACCAGTTTTGTTCATTTCTAACAGGTCCATCTTTCTGAAAATCATACTTTATTAAGTCAAAAGTGAAAAAAAGCTGCAAATAAAAATCAAACAAACAAAAACAAGCATTTAATTAGTTCTGCAATGTTATCTACTGGTAGGAGATTTTATGTTGAATTGAAATAAATAACCATAATATGGTTTATTAAAACAAGTAGCTTTTACTGATAAAAGTTAAATAAATATTTAAAAATCAAAACTGAAGATATTAATAAATAGAACTCATTTACTGGTATTTACTTTCATTTTGTGTGTGTGTGTGTTGCATTTTATGTTAGCAAAACATTACTAATTTTAACCATAAATGAATGATATCAAGATACAGAAGCAATACATGCATTTAAATATTCTGCTCACTATAGGTAAGAGGACCATTTCTGCAGTCACTTAAAACAATCACTGAAATGAAAAGTTTTAATAGAATTAATAGATAAACTATGTGAATACGAAATAGGAGGTGGGGCAAGATGGCAGTCTAGAGGTACCCAAGGTGCATTGTTCCCATAGGAAAGGACCAGAACAATTGACAGCTAAATATTGACAGGAGCATCAGTGGAAGAGCATAGGAGTGCAGCTGGAGATTGGTGAGATTCCTGTGGAGCACGAAAGCCCAGGATGGTGGTTTAGAGAGAAAAGAAAGGCACACAGCCTCAGCCGCCATATCTCTGACACCAGGACTGGCACAGGAAAAAGGTTCCCCTGTGGTGAAAAGGTAGGCAGAGGACTCACATGAACCTTCATCCTCACCATAAAGGCCTGCAGATCATTTGGCAGAACAAGCTGGGAGAAAAGTGTGAGGAGTGGCCTAAAATACACAGACTGCTTCACTTTAGAACACTAGCACAAACTGTGCACTCCTCACCACCCACCCTTGTGACCCAAGCCTATGTAGGACAGCACCATCTTGAAATCAGAACCACTGCAGGAGTGCACCCTGCCCTGGGGACAGTAGCCTCCACCCAGCTCTCTAACAGGACAGGCTATAACTCTCTGATCCTGGCAGCTTGAAGCCTGGGCTCACAGTGTCTGTAACTCTAGTTCTGCAGTCTGGAAAGCCATCCCTAGACCAACTGGACTAATGCACCCACCTCCCCAGCCAGATAGGCAGACCCTCCTCATGTGGACCACACTCCCTTCCTCCCCTTACCCTCCAGCCCTGCCAGATGACTGAGCTGGGTGCACCTGAGCCCCCACCTAGAAAAACACTTCACAGGTCTCTACCCTAATGAATATGCCCGTGGGATGATGGAAATAAAGTACATCTGCCCCTCCCAGAGAAGTAGCCAGGTGGTTTTATTCTGAATAGTCCCTCCTTGTGGCTTTTCCAACAGTCCCAGTAACAGCTGCTCTGGCCCCTTCACTGGAGGACTACCTAACAGCCCTGCCCACTGCCCAGAAGCAGCTGGACAGGCCACTTTACTGCAGGCTTCCCTAGTGGTCTTGCCTACCACCCAGATAAAGCTGGATAGGTCACTTCACTGCAGGCCTGCCTAGCAGCTCCACCCACCACCCAACAAGCAGCTAGATAGGCCCCCTCACTGCAGCCCTGACTAGTAGCCTCACCCACTTGCTGAGAAGGAGTTCAGCAGCTCGGCCCTTGAAAGCCCAGCTCCTGAACTGCAGAGGAAAGCATGACCTTGCATCAGGCCCCAAGAAGTGGCACAGTAGAAGGGCCATCAGCAGACCTACACTCAGCTAGTTGAGCCAAAATGTATCCATACCCTTCGCTCAGAGAAACAGCTGAACTGTCATGCTCCTGGAAGACCTGCCACTGAGTCTTTGAGCCATCACAGGCACACACATCTGAGTGACAAACAGCTTGGCTAATATGCCCCTGGTGGGCCCACCCTTAGTCAGAGAAGCAGAACAGTGAACCTGCCACTGGCAAACCAGTCCTAGAGACCTGGACATGCCATATGCCTACACCCCCAGCCTGAGAATCAATCCACCAACCACAACCCCAGTCAGCCAGCTTCTGAGACGACTGACCCACAGGTTGCTTGTGCACACCACCAGCCTGTGAACTAAGCCAGCAGTACCTCCCCTGCAAAGCTGTGTCACTGCATGAAAAATCCCCAAAGCATAGCTCTCTGAGTCTCTCGCAGACAGCAAAAGTGGATTACAGCCAAAGAAACTATGCAGAGTCTACACTACTGTGTCTATATGGAGCAAAGCCATTGCAATCTACCCAACTGACATTCTAGGATGCATGTGCAGGTGAAATTCTTTTCCTATGCCAGCCACCCCACAAAACTCAAAAAGCTGACTGTCCCACCAGATACGCAGATGTCAATGCAGGGAAACAAGAAACATGAAAAAACAAGGTAACATACCACCACCAAAAAACCAA